ACTTGTTTTCTCTTCTTATGGGATAGTCTGTAGGTTACATCTGCAGTTGCACTTGATGTTGATTACTGAGGTGTCAGTAATATTTAACATATGGAATGGTCTAGTCTGTAATTAAAACTGTGGGTCCTGTGGTTGTAATCACACCCACCCCAAACCCAGTAGCCCTGAAGCAAACAAAATGTGGGCACGTTGGTTAATTGTTTGTTTATCAGTGGTAGTGGGGTTGGCTCCAGTCTCACCACTGGTATCCCAGAATCCTGGAATGGTTTGGGTGGGAAGGGACCTTAAAGATCATCCATTTCCAACCCCTGCCATGGGCAGGGACACCTTCCACTAGCCCAGGTTGCTCCAAGCCCCCTCCAACCCAGCCTTGGACACTTCCAGGGCTGGGGCAGCCACAGCTTCTCTGGGCAACCTGTGCCAGGGCCTAAATAACCTCTGAGGGTCATTAGTTCTTGGTCAAGATTTCTAGAATAAATAATAAAATCATATTTTCTGGTGATTTATCCCTGTTTTCTGAAGCAGGAGTCTGGATTACACGGAGCAGGGATCTGATTTGTTACAGCAATTCTTCTGTCAAATCACCACAGTACCACTTCTCCACATGTAGGGCACGGGCTCCCCCAAGGACTGTAAATGAAGAGCATTCCCCTAATTTCAGTCCAGCTCTGCTGAAAAATGGGGGCTGAGGCTCTGGTTCAGCAGGGGTAGATTTACCAAAACAGATTTAAAAAGGAGCTGCAGCCTCCTTGGAGCAGCAGGGAGCAGCTGTGACACACTCAGGGTGTGATGTCCTGTTTGGGGAGCTCAGTCCCTCGTTTATGTTCCACCCCTATCACCTGCCTGTCTGTGCCTCTTAAACTGACTTCTGGAGGAAAATAACTCTTCCTCCTCTGAAATTTTTCATGGCTAATTATGTGTGTTTCCACCATTCCCAGCACTTCTGGCAGGAGGTGGGAGCTAATTTACCTCTTCTCTGCCCAGTGCTCGTTTCTCAAAAACATTTCAAATTCCATGTTTTGATTCCATTTTGGGTTAGGGCTGGTCAGTGCTTTTAAGCCTTTCACCAGAGGACTCAGTATAGATGGTAAGTTGTCAAGCTGTCATGATTTTTAAACATCAAGCCTAATAATATTCCAAATATAAAGTTTATCAGGAGTGACAGAGTCCAGAAATTCGAGAAGGTAGAGGATGCCTTTTTCCTGTCCAGCCAAATCCATGTTTATGAACTGAAACAGTGAGAGATTTATGTAGCAACGATTTTGTTGCTTCTACTCAAATAATTTGATTGTTATATAGGCAAACTGCAAAGTGAAATGTAAGTTTAAAAATAAAGCAATGAGCAGGGATCCTATTAATACCTGAAAAATTTCATTTAAGAACTCTGCTACTATAGCTGAAGAGCAAGAAGTACTATTTTAAGAGTCACTCATGCTGATCTATGAAATTTATTTGGAATTACCCACTAGAGGAACATAATGCATGAAAAAAACCATGTCTTAACTTTCTTTTCAAACAGTGCCCTTAATCTTCTTTCTGTTCTAATATTAGCATGTATGAACCGTCTCTGGGGCCTCATAATTAAAAGAAGTCTGCCTATGCTACTTTAAAACCCAAATGTAAGCAGAATTTTCAAAGGTTTTCAAAGATAAAATTGTGTTCTCCTTTTTTCCCCTCAGCAGATATTATTGCTAAGATGTAAAATTCTGCATGACTTCAGTAAAGTTTCTCTGGAGGCTGAAGGGAGTCCTGGTTGCCCTTCTCACTGAAAACATTTTGAAGGCCAATAAATCAACTTCCTGGGACTGAAAGGCAATCTAGCAGTGATGTTTGCATCTGAATTGAATTTTCAAAGTCGTTGGAGGTTTGAACAGCCTCCAGCCTCCCTCAGAAATGTCTCAGAAAGCCTTCAATCCATAATTCCCGTGAATTTAACCATCAACTGAGCCCCTGGCTTTGCCTTAAATAACATAACTTGCAAAGAAGCAAACCCCCTGCTCTGTTCCTTGTAGCACTTCCTATGTCTTGTAGATCCCAATTATCCCAAAGGTGGTTTTGATGCAGGATTCAGTTGCCTGATCACAGTTCAGTTCCTTCCTCAGCTCTGTTGACTCTGGGTTTAACTTTGTCCTAAACGTGGGTTTGTAGAAACACCTGAAACATCAAACAGTGCTTTTGAGACATCAAATTCTTATATGGGGCTGACAAAACTAATGCAGAATCTACACAGGAGGGCTGAGATACCTCAGAACACCCCAAACAAGCATTTCTGGGGGGCTGAGACATCCTTTGAATTCCCATGGACTGCAAGAGAACCTGAGATAATGAAATAACCACACCACACATGGACACTGACACTGGAGGTTCTTCCTCAGAATGCAATTGCCTTTGCAGAGGGGATGATTTTGGGATGTTCTAGGTTATTTAGAACTTAAAAATCACAAGAGACACGGTGCAGGATCACAGGGGACATGAAAATTTCTGGTGTGAGAGGTGAGGGCCAAACAAAATACATGCAAACCTCTAAATAACACAAAATAGTGTCACTAAGTCACTAAGAAGCTGAGTGTAGACTCTATTCAGCAACTGCTATCTAGAAATCCATTTGGCTGTTTAAGTGAAGGTTCCCTTATCCCTTTAAATGAAGCTTAATTTCTTAAGCTTCCAAAACAAGTCATTAAAATTTTCTCATTTCACCATCTGTTAAAATGGTGCAGTGTCTCTGTCTAAGGTGTGTGCAACATCCTCAGATAACATATTGATAAAATTCAGATTAAACTGTGGCCAAGACCACCATTTTCCTTTTTTTCTCTGAATTATTGGACTTCAGTATTTCTTACTTAAGCTCTAATGGATATAAAACTCCTGCTCCTATTAATTGCTTCTATTTTTATAATTCAGAAGGGAAGAACCTGATGCTCTCTCAGTAGAGTGACTTTCATGGCACTGTAATCTCAGGGTTTCAAAGGAGACCAAGAGCCCAAACTGTTATTCTCAACGTCAAAGCAGAGTAGACACACCCTCCTGAAGGGTAATTAGAACTTTATCATCTCACTTAGGGCTAATTCCTGCTCTAAAGAAAACTTGATTCTTAGAAGAATCCCAAGAATCCAAATAGGAATATTTTGGTAATATCTAGTTCTGAAAACACTCAAAGTCTTTAACTAAAAAAAACAAGCAAACAAACAACCCACACAAAAAAACCCCACCAAAAAGCCACAACAGAAAAACAAAACCAACCAACTAAAAAAACTCCGAAACAAACAAAAATCAAACAAACAAAACAACAAAAACCAACCAAACAAAACAGAAAAAAAAAAAAACCACAAAGCCCCCTCAAAAAAACCCAAAACCAAAACCAAAACCAAAAACAAAAAAACCCCAAAAAAACCCAAACCAAAAAACAAATTAACAGGTATATTTACTTTTATTGTTTTGTGGGGAAGAAATGTATGGGTTTTCCTATGGGGAAAGGGAGAAATTGTTTTATGGGAAATGTATGTACTGTTTTATGAGCAGGAAATGTATGTTTGGAGGACTTGGTGTGAATATTCCCACAGCTGATGGACCATCCAATTTTGTCCAGCTGACAAAGAGATGGAGATCCAAGGAGTGTGAAATCCATTTAAGTTTTGTGGAAAACATGGGTGTAAAGGAGAGGTGGTATAAATGTCCATATTGGAGAAGAGGTGCTGCTTGAGCTTGATTATTGTGATAACCTGAAGAGTCCATGTGGAATTCACACACAGACATGGATAAAAATCAATAACTGTATGAGATCCCAGCCTCCTCCTGCCGTTTATTTGCAGAAAAACCTTCAGCTAGAGTTTTCACATCCTTAGACCTCAAAATATGAGCCAGCAGGTACAAACTGGAAAGAAATCCGGCTCTTCTCATTCTGATGACAACAGAATTTCTTGAGTTTTTTTTTTGTCTTTCACCAAGGTTGGGGGAATCCATCCAGAATGCAAGATATTCCAGCAGGTGGTCAAAGAGGAGGCTCTCTGCCTGGAACAGAATGAATCTGTTTCTCCTGATCTTAAAGGTAAGAATCCTGATTGTCAAACTCTGGTATGAATATCCCTTGGATATCTTTTCATGGGCACAATGTCAGATATCATTTGTTCTCCTAAGTAAAACTTCCCAGATAAATTCCTCTTTTATTTGGTTTCCAGTTGATGGGTTTTCTTGGCTTCCAACAGATTCCTATTTTTATTTGGTTTCCAATAGATTTGTTTTTTTGGTATCCAATAGATTCCTCTTTTATTTGCTTTCCAATAGTTTTTTCTTATTGGCTTCCAATAGATTCCTCTTTTATTTGGTTTCCAGTAGATTCCTCTTTATTTGGTTTCCAATGGATGGGTTTTATTGGCTTCCAATAGATTCCTCTTTTATTTGGTTTCTTAATGGCTTGAAATGCTTCTTGTCTAGGCTGGGACTTTTACCTCATCTCATTTTGGGCATCTTTAAAAGCTCAATGTCTAAGGCAGAATTTGTCTTCTTAGAATCCTTTAAAGTACATGGAGGAGGGTGGGTGTCCCTAGAACACATTTCATTGCATTTTAGACACTTTGGAATGAAATTAATAATTTTCTGGAGTAGAATTTCTCTTTACTGCTACAGAAAGAAAATAAGATGATTGGTTCATACTTAGGCAGGTTAAGTAGCTTAGTTAGGGAAGGAAAACCCTACTTGGAATGTCTCACATTAGTAAAGTATTTGGTGTATTCTATACCCAAAATACCAAAGAAATTTCCACAGAAGATGCTGAAAAACGTGTTGCAATTATATCATGTTGGGAATCATTCACATGCTGAAAATGTTCTTTGGGGGGAGAAAAAAAAATAAAAAAAAAAATCCCAAGTTCTTCAAAATATTATATTTCCACAGTTTTACATGTTATTCGTTTGCTTGAGGAGATTTATTGTGGTGGTGTTTTGAAGCCTGTTCCGTGCTCAGATATAAATTTTGAAAACTAAAATGAACACGTAACAGAGCCTGTAAAATATATTGAAAATGCTGTGTAGGGTGTTCCCTCCTGGGGTTTTGACCTTGTGGAGACACGCTTAGAAATAATTCAAAGTGAAATTTTGGAACGTTCAAACCCTCCAAAGTTCAGTCAGATTTTTTCCAGCCAACTTTGCTTAGAAAAGTTTGAATCCACCTCAGTGAGATTTTTCAGTTATGTGAATTATGAGAGGTTAATTTTTTTTTCTGGTTGGTATAGAAGAATTGTAACCCCCTGGAAATCTGCCTTTATCAGCCTATTGGAAATTACAGTCCAACCCCCAGGATATTTCCTTTGTCTTATATATTATTGTGCAGTATTTCCAATCACTTTAACCTTCCATATTCCTCTTCTAGTTTCCTACTCTATTTTGGTGATATTCCACCCCACACACTTTAATCAAGTCCATAATATCTCTTGGACACATTTTGCACTTGCAGCACACAATAATCCACTCAAAAAGACATTCTGGCATAAATCAGGTATTTTCAAAAATTATCTGTTAGATGCATTCCAGGATGTCATTCCAAGTTTCCTCCTCTTTAACACAACAATAATGACATCATTTTTTAATCCTCTTTGTAGCAAAGGTTACTCAAGGAAATAAAAAGCCCTGGAAGTTCTGTTAAACTATTTAAAAATCTTCAACCTTGTCAGCTCTGAGCTTCTCAAAGCTCTCCTTTCCACCTTTTATTCTCTAGAGATGGAAAGACCTTAATGAGAATCTGTTCTGGTGTTCACAGCCTTTCTCAAGGCATTTTGAAATTAAACATTAGATCCAGAAAACCAGTTTATCTCCAGTATTTTATCTGGAGGATAAAACTAGACTAAAATTAGTAAGAGTCCATAGCTTGTGTTTTGGTTTTCAGGAATTCAGCGAGGCAAGGAGAAGGATCACAGTTTGTAGAGTTACTTCTGAGCAGTCACAGAGAAGCTGTGCTGGGATTAGTCTGTGTTACAGAGATTTTGATCCAAAGTAGTTCCACACTATTCTTGTTGTACAGGGCACTGTCTAATGAGTGTCATCAGCAGCCAGACTGTCTCATTTTGAAGTAGATGTGTAAAATAGGTCAAATAAACCAAGCTCTAAAAAAACACTTATTTTTCCTCCACTGTCTAAAAAAGAAACAGCCCTGGATTACTGAGCAAGACTTGAATATCTGTGATGTCAACATTACTTGATACAGCTCCTGCTGCAGTTTATGGAGTCTCAGGTGACTTGGACACCCACAACTCTCTTGAAAACCTTGGCATGAAAAATTCCCTTTTGGCTTCTGCACTCAGCGGTTTTTTTGATATACATTGAAGAAGTCGCTGGAAATTAAGCCAAATTTAAGATTTAAAACATACAGATTCCTTTACTACACAGGGAATGGAATCTCATTTTTAACCCCACATTGCCACATAAATTAGATTTTTAGACCCAACTCTTCAACTCTATTATAGTCCCTCTAAGAAGGAGCACTTCAGTTGCTAAGTCCATGCACATGGACCATTGCATGTGTAAGAGGGACTAACATTACCTGGCTTTAATAATTCAAAAATTAGCAGCCTATCTTAGGGTATAATCATCAGCCAGACCCAGGTATTTGCAGCCAGTGATTCATCCTGCCCTCAGAAAGAGGCCTCCAATATTTGGGATGAATCACGGGCTGGAAGCCACTGTCTCTTTCCTCTGCTTACAAAGGGAACAGAGCTGAGATTAGCTGACATATTTTAGGCAATTAAAATCATAGTTAATGAATCAGGGCCTCTATTTTGCCATCTGGCAAATTGGGGATACCAGGAATTGCATCCTTCCAAGGGTCACGTGAGGACAATGGTGTGGGAGATTCTCAGGGCTCTCCTTTTGGAAGCCAGAGAGCAGCTTAACTCAGCTACAGGTAAGTGATATTTCTTCCACATTTCAGCTCCTCACAATTTTAGCTTTGCCTTATCATCTCCCCCCAGAGGAAGCAGAAAAGAGTCATGAAAGAAAATAACACCTCCCCAACCCAAACTCCTGCACTGCTTTATATCCACCTTACGACCACCTGGGGGTTAGTTGGGGTTGCAGAATGATGCTTTTTTTTTTTTTTTCAGTTTGTTCAGGCACTTTTACATGCTGGTAATTTTTCTGTGCTGCCCCCACACCTACTCGCCCACAGCTGGAAGTGTCACTGTGATGCATCTGTGGCAAACCTGGGATTAACCAAAGCTTCTGAGAAAACCCTTTTTAATGGACTCATAACCAACATAATTTCCTGTGTCATCAACCAGCAGCCTCTGGTTTAAGCAACCTCATGGATGCACCTATTCCCAACGATGGGATGAATCTTATCCTTATTGAAATCCATTGCAAAAATACCATTGGTTTCCTAATACTGGGATTTCACCCTTATTTCCTTCAAGCCAGGTAAAACTGGTAGAGTTTTAGCAGGAAATCAAGGGATTAAGGTTGAACTTCTAAGTCTGATTTTTTCAGTCAGGCCCTGGAACCAGCGATGAGAAATCTCAGGTGCTAATAATTATTCAATATTTTAATTTTGGTGGGTTTTGTTTTGACAATAGCAAGAGCTCCAAGAGATTTGACTTTCAGATTGTGTGTCTGTTTGAATTTCAGGTATATTCTCTCACAAGATAAGGTGGAGGAATGTCCAGCTGGAATGCCAAATGCATATGTGATCAAGGATGCATCCAAGGAGAAGAGGAAAACAATTCTCTCCTTCCCTTCAGTGCTGCATGCCCTGTTGTGGCTCTTCCTGCATGTGAATTAGTGGGAAAGCCACAGAAAATGTCATTATGGGAGATCAACTGCGTGATGTTCTCTGTGTTTCTCTTTATTTAGAAGCACTTTTTTTCTTACAGGATGTGCCAGAGATTGGGATGGTTTAACCTGCTGGCCCAGAGCCACTTTTGGGGAAGTGGTGAAAATTCCCTGTCCACGATTTTTCGAAGAATTCACCAATACCCATGGCAAGACTTTTTGTCCCTACTTTTTTTTTAATTATTTTATTTTAAATAAATTCTAATAGCTGAAAATTCCTACATTTTTTCCTGATTCCCAATGCTATCATACAGTAGCTATCCAGATACACATCTTGGCTTGTGGTCAATATTTCCTTGCATTATGCTGTACTGAATTGTCTCATTTCTTTCATGGTCTAAAAGTGATGGATAATTGCACTATGTTACTAACTTTGTAAAGGAATATGTTGTAGAATCACTGATTTATAAACTCATAAAATAATTAATATTAAAAAGGACCTACTGAGGTCATCTGGTCCATTCCTTCAGTCAGAGCAGGACCGAGTTTAAAACTTGTATCTGATTTCCAATATAGATCAGGTGGCTCAGAGCTTTGTGTACAATCCCCAAATATGTTGTAAATGTGTAATTTGATTTCCTCCACGTAAGTATTGAATTTACAGAATTGATTTCCCATATGAAATGCTCAAGTCTCACTGCATCTTGAAACGAATTTCCACATTTTCAAATGATATACAGAATATTGGAACCCTACAGCTTAACTTGCTGGACATGTCTAGACCTGTAAGTCCCTGACTTAAGGATCAAAGTAGAAATAAGAAATTGTTGTTGCTCATCCAAACCTAAAGAACAGCAGCAGCACCACCCCCCTCCCCTAATTAATTCTCTGCTCTCTTTTCCCATGAAAGGTTTCCTCCAGAGGAATTGCACACAGGAGGCACATTGGTCAGAACCATTCCCCCCATACACTGTTGCCTGTGGGTTTGATGAAGGTTCCAGTAAAGGACCTGAGGATCAGGTGAGTGTTTGATTTCCAGAGCATCCTTTCCTGAGAGTACTGAGTAGCTCCACACATCTGACTCCTGTCAGAACCCAGTAATTACCCATTTTCAGTGCTAAACTCCAAAATTTTAGGTGTATTTAATGCTTGTTTAACAAATTAGGCTTAATAGAAAGCAAGTGAGTAGCAAGAAATACTTCCTTCTCTGTGTAAATGTCTCCTCTTGTTGTTAATGAGTAAACTCATGATTAGTTCACTTTTCCTGCCTAAAAAAGACTTTGGCTCTCTAACAGAGGTGATTTTAGTTCTCATCATGCACCCATATCCCAAGGAAGCCCTACCAAGCTCACCACAGGGAATTTTTCAGGGAAAATTCCTCTGTATGCCTCCAGTTGATTTTTTTCCCCCCAGATTTTAAGTCAATCAGAAAAAATTAGTCCGTGACTTTCTAGCATGGTGGTCAAGGCACACCTTTGTGAGGGAATTCTTGGATGCCATTGAGCAGAGGACCCTGAGCAAGCAGGTCTAAGGGAAGGTGTCCCTGCCTATGGCAGGTGGGTTGGAATTGGATGATCTTTGAAGGTCCCTTCTGACCCAAACCACTCTATGAAATGATAACTTTTATACTTTCCTGTAGGTGTTCATGGAGCAGGCAGCAAACCTCTATTTTTCCTATCTGATGACCATCACTGGCACTTAGTTAAGCTCCTGCAGAATTTCTTTCACTGCCACATCTTCATATGATTTTAATTCCCATATTCCTCATCCCCCTACTTGGCCCCAGGATGGGAATGCCTCACACTCTGCTGGTCCCTCACTGGTGAACTTCTCCTGGCTGAAGGTTATTAATTAATTAATTAATTAACAGAGAGGCTGCCTCTGCCTTGGAGTTCTGAAATTTGAGAGATGGGACAGTCCCAGCAAGAGAGAACAGGGATGTCTCCACCCCCTCCTTTCAGTCTGCATTGAACAAGGCTCCTCTTGCACATCCCAAAAAAGTAGGATTATGTACATCCACGCAAGTGTTTGCAATAGGTATTGAAAAACCCAAGTTAGCAAAACAGATGAATAGTTCTGGGTAAAAATTTCAAGATGTTTTTTTAAGAATCCAAATCAATATTTTTATACGGGGCTTTTGAGCTTTGGAATCTCCGTGACTTATTTTTTCAGGAAACTGAAAAAAAGGTATCGTGTACACCATAATAAGTGTCAAAAAGGCATATCAAATTACAAAAAAAAAAAGATGGAACAAACCAGAAAACACAGTGGTTTATTTGTAGATGGTTTGAAAATACAGCAAGAGCTTCAATTCACCAAATAAATATTTTCTTAATGCAATTTATTAATGCATTTTATTAATACAGCTGGGTTTTTTTAATGTTTCACTCTCAAAAAGTCATGTAAACAGTTCAGAAAAGAGCCATTTATCACAAGCCAAAGCAAGATACAGAAAGGTGGAGAGGGTTGTCATCACTAACACTGAGTATTATCTGGAATTAACCAGGCACACAAGCTCAAGCACAAACTAGTTCAGATATCTGAATCTTTGGGAAGTGTAGACAAAATTTGCTTCATATAATAATAATAATAATTTGACTAGGTGAATGTAGAACCTAAGAATGGCTGTAACAAGTGGTAAAAATATCTGGAGCTGAATCCCCCATCTATAAATTAGGAATATTTGTAATTCTTTGCCCTTTAGGGAAGCTGGAAAGATAAATGTTTTTAAAAAAACCCCATAAATAAATGCTTAAAAAACATCTGGGAAGATGCTGGAAAGCATATAAACACTTCAGAAAAAAAAGCCATTTATCACAAGCCAGAGCAAGACACCAAAAGGTGAGGAGGGTTGTCATCACTGACACTCTGGGTGTTATCTGGAGGTAACCATTTTGTTCTCCAGGCACACAGGCTCGAGCACAAACTAGTTCAGATCTAAATCTTTGGGAAATGTAGACACAATTTGCTTCAGAAATTTGGCTCCATGAACTTAGAACCTAGAATGGTTCTAATATCTTTACAGGGAGTAAAGATATTTGGAGCTCGATCTCCCACCTATAAATTAGGAATATTTGTAATTCTTTGCCCTTTAGGGAAGCAGAAAGATAAATGCTTAAAAAAAAACATAAATAAATGCTTAAAAAACAGCTGGGAAGATGGTGGAAAGCATATAAACAGTTCAGAAGGGATGTAAGATTCAGAAGGGGACATATTCTGGAGCACAGTTCTCCAGCCCTGGGACCAGCTGGCCACCCCCAGAGCTTGGGTTTCCCCCAAGCAGTCCCTGGATTATGCTAAACCAGTTTGTGGCTGGCCTAGGCTAAAATCCAGCAAGGAACATTTCAACAGTATGGAAGACTTCAATTCAGAGGCCCTGACTGTGTTTAGTTTGTTATTCCAGTCAAATCCCCCAGGTTTGACTAGAAAAGGAAGATAAGATCAGCAATCTCGGATGCATTGCAAACATGGGGAAGTAACAAGAATCCCAATTATATTCCAAGAGATCCACTTGCTTTGTATTTTGTATGTGCAGTGAACACTTGTGATGTCCTCTGCATAATGTTTTTTTTTTATCTATCCTACAAAAACAGATAAAATGAATTGAAATACTTCATTATTCAGTTGAAGAACCTGTTTTCCCATTTTCTTCTGTGTTTTGGAAATACTGTATAAAAGATTAGGACTATATCAGAAACACCAGACTGATTCCTATCTTGTCAGGATTACATGATTTATTTATGGCTCTAGTTAAAATTGCTAATCACTTGTCTCAGCCTAGAATTGCAGCCTTTTGGACAAACAGATTTTGGATCAATTAGAGAACAAAGCATCCATTGCATTAGTAAGGGGGAAATTTGCCTGGATTCAGAGAATTTAGTTCCTTGGGATTTTAAATAATTAGGTGATTTTGTAGTCAATCAGAATAAAATTTGCATAGTTAAAGCCATGTAGATATGCTTCATTTTTCTCACTACACTGGGTGTTTAATTTGAAAAGAAATGAACTGTAAAGAGTTTATAGTGTTACAGTTTATAGGAATGGAATGAACTGTTTGTCCAAAGCATTGACTGTGAGGTGATTTTCTTGGCTTTAACTTTCTCACCTCCACAATATGATGGAGCTGTTTCTCAGTATTTCAGTTCCCTCACCTACAAATTGCCAAGTTTTATTTCTCTTTCAGCCATAGCTCTTTATGAAAATCAATGTTTATTGAGTCTGGCTCAGGCCTGAAGTGACAGATTCACAAATCACCCACCAGGAGGTTTCAGTGCCCCAGACTCTTTAGGTACCAACAAGAGAAAATGCAGTTACTTTAAAAAAAAAGCTAAAAAATTTCCCTGTAAGACATGGTCAGAGGGGTCAGATGAGCCTGTGGGCTGTGAAACCTGTCTCCTGTGTAAGGTTCAGTAGGATTTAAAGGAAAACATGTTTGTGGTGGAGGGAAAAACCTGAAGCAGATCTCAAGCACAGGGGTGGTGGTACTGGTGAAATAAGTGAAAATAAGTGGTGAAAATGTGTCCTGGTGAAATAAGCACCCATAGCATTCATCCTCCAGAATCCCCTGCATCAGACTGTGTCTCTTTTCCCCCCAGAAATCCTATTATTCTGCATTTTGGCGTGTCTACACCGCTGGCTATGCAGCATCAGTGACTTCACTCGTTACAGCTCTAATTGTCTTTGCTGCCTTCAGGTAAATATAAATGGGCTCTTTTTCAGGATGTCTTAAGACAATCTCATCCTAATTTCCATCAAATCCTCTGTGGTTTTGCTTTGTGGGCTTTTAAGTATTTTTAATTATTATTTTCTAATCATTCTGAGACATAATGCTGTTGATGGTGGTGGGTCTTTCTCTATTTGTGCTGTAGTATTTCCCTGCAGATGTTAAAACATCCAAGCTGCCTGGGCAGTCTGATTTAGTCTCTTTAATGCCACCATACAGTGGAGGTGCCCAAACTTACATCACTATTAGTATAAGAAAACAATTCCTTCAGCATATGGCAGGACATACCCTGCAGAAACACTGTCTCATGGTCCTGAACCAGAGGTGATTCTAAACTGTTCATTCCCTCTGTGAAAGGTTTCCAGAGCTGAGAGCTACAGGAAGACGTTTAAATAAATTTAAATGTTACATCTGATGATATCAGGAAATGGATCCTGGGTTTGAGTGGTTCCAGTGCTCTTGGGCAAGAGTTAAAGCCACTGTGCAGACAGGAGGGCAGAGCACAGAAGCAGCTTCCTAACTGGGGTGGGTTGGCATTCTCAAAGGTCACATCCCAGGACCACGAGGCTGATATGCCCAAGCCTTGAAGGAGATTCCATCAGCTCAAGGTAGAAGTGTGGACAGGGCAACCCAGGGAAATGGAATCATGGGATCATTTAGGTTGGAAAAGGTGTTTGAGATCCTCAACTCCGACCATTAACCCAGCATTGCCAAGGCCACCACTAAACCACGTCCCCAGGTGCCACATCTACATGTGCTTTAAATACCCACAGGGGTGGGGACTCAACCACTTCCCTGGGCAGCCTGTGCCAGTGCTGGACAATCCTTTCCATAAAGAAAATTTTCCTACTATCCAATCTAAACCTCCTCTGGCACAACTTGGGGCCTTTTCCTCTTGTCCTGTCCCTGTTACTCTGGAGAAGAGCCTGATACCCACTTGGCTACAACCTCCTTTCAGGAAGCTGTAGAGAGTGAGAAGGTCCCCCCTGAGCCTTCTTTTCTCCAGGCTGAGCCTCCCCAGCTCCCTCAGCAACCCTTCATCAAACTAATGTAGTTTAGGGCAAGGCAACCCCTTCTCTGGCACCCACCTTACAGAATGTGACTGACACCCATTCAACCTTCTCTTCTCTCTGACCAGAAAGGGGCTGAAAACCTTGTTGAGCCTTTTGCAAGCTCGTTCAACAAAAATATTATTTAGAATAATTAAAAGGCATTATTGTAACACAGCCCAAGAGTCCCACAGTTACTCTCTGCTTCTGGCATCTCCTCTAAATCTGTGGTGATTCAGGGACAATTACACTGGAATTTTTATTAGCTTAAACAGATAATAACTGCTCTGTTCCCTCATGTCTGTCTCCCTCTCAAACAGTGGCAGGTCATTTGTTTGCTCTGGGAGGTGTTGGCAGTTTGAGTTTTGCTGAGACCACGAGAAATTTCTGGTGAAGAACAATTTTTGTTTTCTCTTTCCATGTCAGAAAATTCCACTGTACACGGAATTACATCCACATGCACCTGTTTGTCTCCTTTATCTTGAGGGCAATTGCTGTTTTCACCAAAGATGCTGTTTTGTTTGCAGATGAAACTATGGACCACTGCCTAATGTCAACGGTACTGAACCTCCCCTCTCTTTTATCCTCGAGTTAACATTTCATTCTTGGGATTCCTAAGTCCCATTTCTCTTTTGTTTGCTAGGACTGAAATCTTAAAACAAACAACACAAAGACCAAGTGCAGCTATGGCTGCACTCAGCTTTGATATCTAAAGTACATGTCTCTAATGAAGCTGTAACAAGTTCTGCTAGCAAAGAATTTAATCTGTGAGAGAAACCCAGTATTTGTCTTTCAAAAAACTGAAGTAAAGTCAATTCAAATTATGGAACCTCAAACCTACTGAAATATTGTTAGAATGTCTTTGTTCTTGTGTGGTCATATTGAATTTTGCATCTGTCTGGAGAGAAACCAGACATAATGAGAGTAGATGTAACATATTTTTCTCCCCCTGCACTTCCAGGTTGCCTGTAAGGCTGCTGTGGCATTTTTCCAGTTCAGTATTTTGGCCAATTTCTTCTGGCTTCTCATTGAAGGGATTTACCTGCAAACCCTGCTCCTGCTGACCTTTGTTTCCAACAAGCAGTTCGTGTGGTGGTTCATAGTCACTGGCTGGGGTCAGTATTCCTGCTCTCTCTGTGTTATCTACCATCTCTGTTTACTGTCAGAAATAAATAAAACATGTGTTTTGAGACAAAATGTGCCTGTCAGAGGTGCCACCATTCTGAGGAAAGTTACCTGTTTATTCAGTAGTGTTACATGAAAACCACACATCACTGTATTGCCTTTCTTATCTTATTTATTTATCTTATTGGTTATTTACACCACTCACCACAGGGGTGATAAATCCAGTCCTCAAGATGATGACTAATTTGTCTGGATAACATCCTAGAAACACTTTGTCTTCCTCCACTGACTAAGGAAGTTTGGGTGACTAACTTAAAGTTGGCATTTTGCTTTTAGGAAACAGAACCTGAGAGATTAATCTTAGATCACGTGAGTTCAGGCTCAGGAATCAAACAATTCTTCTCTTTTGTTTTGTTTTTAAAAGAACTCCCGGCTTTAAGAAGTTCTTTGAGATTTTACAGCAATTAAAATTTTCTCTGATTGTCAGAACAGGAATGGGTAAGACCTAAAATTTCATTCATTGGAGAGAGTTATTTTTATGACTCTCAGATATTCCTGTGCCTCACCTCAGCTATTTTAAAAAAGAGGCACCCAAATTAAGCAGTTACAAAATGCCATTTTTTTGCCTTAGCATTGAAATCCAAATTATCCTCAAGTAAATATTAATTCATCCTTTATATTGAGATTCTCAGACTTTATATAATTCAATTTTTTTGAGCTATTCCAATTTTTTGAGCTAATTTTTGACTGTCTGAAATTAGACTCTCAGACCTTGATTAATCATGGCTAAATTGAGAGAACAAAAGAAACAACTCAATTAATAATGTAGAAATCCTCATTTACTTCTGGAATAAATGGAAGGGGAGAGACATCTCAGGGGTAACTCAGATCTTAGGTGATATGGATGTAAATATTTCTCTTCATTAATTAAACAGACCACTTGAACTGAACGTGGTCCCAGCTTTAAAGGACTTTAGCAAAGGGCTAAAATTTAGAAGAACACCCTCTAGGCCTTTTTTTAAAGATCTCAAGTGGTATTTAGAAAGATGTTACCTTTATTTCTGTCTGTTTATCAGTGAAAATGTCACTTGTTTCAGATTAGAGTCCCTTTTTTTTTCTGCAGCTTTGAAAGTCACTTGGTCTTTGGAAATTCAATTCCACAGAAAGAGAGCAAAAGCAATTTCTACTTTATAGGCCTTCTTAAAACAAAATCAGCCATAAATGTAGAAGGATAGAAGGATAAGCAGTAAAAAGTGGGAATAGAAATCACCAGTTGCTGGATTTAATTAAGTTTTCATGGAATTCTTATCAGCTGATGGGTCCAGAGTGATTAATAGAGGACAAAAATGTGAATTCTTCCACCTAGTGTACAAAAAGTTGTATGTTGGCCACAATTCACAGGATAAGAGAGCTCCAGAGCTTCACAAATGCTTGTAATTCATAGGCAAACCTAAAGTAATTCTTAATACTTATTTTTGAAAATGCAGTTTTACAGCACCCTTTATTCTCCTTTGCTTTTTTTTAAATTCCCCTGCCCTTGTATTCCTTTTTTTCCCCCTGAGCTGCGAGTTAAGTTCTTTCATAAAGTTATTTAAAATTGCCTGACCCATCATTTGTCCTTTAATGTGCATCCAACCTGCTGCACTCTGAAAGTGCTGGGAGTAAAGTCTCCATGGGACACAGTATTCCAAATAATTGTTGTGTTTCCATGTTGATTTGTCCAGGAGCTCCTGCTGCTGTGCTGTTTGCCTGGGTCCTTACAAGAATCCACCAACAAAATACTGGGTAAGTCAAAGCTTGGAAAAGGAAGATGAGGATATCCTGGTTTTTTATGGTGTTCTGCTCTGCTGGCGGGGAAAAAAGAGGTATTTAAAAAAAAAAAAAGGAAAAAACTCATGTATTCCCAAGTTCTGCTTCTAATCTTTACACTTCATATGGAAGTCTGTGAGAAAATAGTTTTAATTCTTCTGATTTGGTGTTTGTATATGGGATAATAAACCCGTGGTAACTACTGAAATTTCATTTAGTTCCCTAATGGCCAGACCTGCAATAATTGTATTTTAAGAAAATATATTATTTTTATCATTGTATACAATTATATAATTATATATAAGAAAATATAATAATATATAACCTTTATATAATTATATATAAGGAAATTATTATATTTTAAGAAATTAACTGTTTCTGTTTAAAATCAGCCATATATTACTAACCCAAATCTTTTCAAATAAGAACCTCCTAAACCAACACATCATGTCTTGTTAATTTGTTTCCATTTAATTATTTGATTTTTATTCTATTTTAATCTTTTAATCTGAGAGCCAGATATAAATGTTATTTACTAAAAGCTGTCCTGAAGGTGTCCAGGTCATGTGGACAATCAGTTGGAAAAGAGACTGTTCTACACCTTCCTGCTCAGAACTCAGATGAATGACAGAGAGGAGTGAGAAGAGCAGGAAAGAAGCCTGAAAATACAAATTTCTTGATTTTGCTTTGGTTCTTCCATCTTTGCTTCTTACAGGATAAATTTCCTTCAAATTGAGTTACACAGAGATTTTAGAGAGGTGTGAGGGTTCCAGTGCTGTCAGGGACATTTAGGCAGGGATTTAAACTTCGTTTTTCTGTGAAAAAGTGCTTTTATATGTTGTAAAAGCTCACATGGGACAGATAACATGACCTGTTTTGTTTGTGGTTTCAGATGTTGGGATGATGATGAAAATGGAGTGGTCTTATGGATCATCAAGGGCCCCATCCTGATAACTGTATTAGTATGTTTGGGTGTTTTTTCATTTTCCCTTGAATATCTGCGTATAGATCATTTTACCTGGTATATTTTTTAAATAATTTTATCTGGTATATTTTTGAAATAATTTTATCTGGTATATTTTTGAAATAATTTTATCTGGTTTTTTTTTTTTTTTAAATAAGTTCTTAGGATGTAAACTTAAGACAAAGAAATCTCCCTTATCCACCCATGTACACCACCTAAATTTAGAGAGGGAGTACTATTTCATTCAGGTCTGTATCTCTTGTAATCCCTATCCCAAATAATGAAGGGAACAGAAGGGACTGTTTAAACCATGTAAGACCTGCTGGCGAGAAAAACAGGGCATTAATATAAATAAAATAATATTATTTATTTATATATATAATATTTATTAACATAAATAAAATATATTATTACTCTCTCTGAGCTTGAGATACATAGGTCTACATTAATTCAACATAATTTTCACCGTATTTTATGTATAAATATATGTGGGTGGGAAAAATAATTACTATTTATAATGCTCTTGATTTGGTCTGAGAACAGATCTGCTCTGGTTTATGGCAGTGCACTTGCTCTGACTGGGGATTTTCAGTTATTTGTGTCAGCTCCTGGGCAATAATAAATTTACAGGTTTTGCCTTGTCTTTTCAGATTAACTTTATTATATTTATTAATGTGATCAGAATTCTAGTCCATAAACTGAAATCTCAAGAGGGAGGAGGGAGCCATTCGAGCCACTTCGTGTGAGTGTTTCTGGGTTTCTTAATATTGACCTGTTCTGATATGAGAAATATTTTATGGGCACAAAATGTTCTCCTCTTCTTCTAACAGAGAGAGAAATTCCCAGGAGAAATAACAATGTTCCTGTTCATCCCAAATATCACCTCTCTCTCTTTCTTCAGGGGAAAAAGGGTGGGGTGGGTTGGGGACAATGAAAAAATAAACCAGAAAGTTTTGCAGCTGTGGAAGGACCCAGATTGAAAGTGTAAACACTGAATGTAAGGTAACGAATTCACAAATGGCCACATAGAGAAAGATGCAGATTTAAGTTAAATTTCCTTCAAATTCTTAGCAGTAGCTTGATGTTGATGTTCTGGTAACCAAACCTAGTCCTTGCTGTTTATGAGCCACCTCACAGCTAATGGGGATCTTTCCAGGGATGTAGTTCCCTCCATTGTGAATTAAAATATGCTCCAACATAAAAATGCTGTCACTAATTCCATATTTCTAACACTGCCTTGTTTTTTAATCCTTGGTTTTCCAGGAGACTTGCTAAATCCACGTTGCTTTTGATCCCCCTCTTTGGAGTGCACTACATCGTATTTGCATTTTTCCCAGAGAGCACTGGGCTGGAAGCTCGTTTTTACATTGAGCTGGGCTTGGGTTCTTTCCAGGTAAGATGGACAAAATATTTAACAATCCTGAGAGGTTTAATCTGTACCACCACACCCTCAGCTTGGTTATTACAGCAGGTTTTTCCAGTGTGTCCAAATCCAACACACACGTTCCATCTTCCCCCTTCAGCATCTCTCCTGGTTTTTGTTCCCTTTTTATTTGAAATCTCATACTGCTTTTGAATTCTGAGTCAGACTTCATATTAATAATTACAAAAAAACCCCACAACATCTACCTTTATTGAATAACAATATATTGAATAACAAGAATAAATTGAATAACAAGAGTTCTGTGAAGACCAGTCTGTGGATTAAAGTGAACTGTGGAAAATGATTTCACATATAATAAAACCAAGAGGAATGGAGAAATAAGGAGAATATATAACAACCTTCTCTGCCCTTACCCTTTAGGAGTGGTGAATCATGTTAATATTTCATGGTTTGTTTTGCTATACTGCTAGTCAGAAGAATGTCATGGATTTGAGAGGGTATGGTACACTTTGTAATAACTGTATTCACTATTGTAAATATAGATTAGAAGAAAACAGGTACCCCTACTCCCTTATCTGAGGGAGAAGTTGTTTGTAGGATACAATAAACAGCAAATCAGTCCTTACTGTCTCCATACAAGGGCAATAACATACATATAATATCACCAGTCCTTTGAGGAATTTAATTCTGCTATGAAAACTCAATAAATAGTGCCACATCACCTGACTTTCAATGGAAAAATGGAAAACATTATATTTTTTTGCTGTCTGTCTTACTCAAATTGTGCATGAAACTTGCTGTCTGTCATTGATTCTGTGCTTTAAATCCTGATTATTGGCTTTTTTTCTCCCTGCCCTCCCTGTCCCAGGGTTTTGTTGTCGCTCTTCTCTATTGCTTCTCCAACGCAGAGGTGAGTAACGAGGAAATAACATCATCAAAACCTTTAAAACCCAGGGCCCCCTCTTGCTTTTAATTTCTTTTCCTATTTTCAGAACAGATCAGTGCTTTGATCTGCTGCTGAAAGCCTGACATCCCCAGAGCTTTCCTTTTCCCTTGGTACCTTTGTTGCCTTTGTTTGTATTCACCCAGTTCTGACAGGAGGACACAAACAACCTTTGGAGCCCTGACCCTTTCCAAACTGTTCCTGACTTTCCTGGCAGGGATTTGTCTCCTGCTTTGTGTCTGATGTCTGTCATGATGGTGCTTCCATGGAAAGCTTGTGATGCTCCTTTAAGTTTATTTTCTCCTAGTGAGTTTCTTCTTTTTCCCTTTTCCCACTTTCCCCTTTTCCTCTTTTCCTCCCTTTTCCTCCCATTTCCCTTTTTTCTCCTTTTTTCTCCTTTTTTCTCCTTTTTTTCTCCTTTCCCCCCTCTTTTTCCCTATTTTCCCTTTTCCCTCCTTTTTCCCCTTTTCCCCCCTTTTCCCCCTTTTTCTCCCTTTTTCCCCCTTTTCACCCCTTTTTTCCCCTTTTTACCCCTTTCCCCCTTCCCCTTTTTTCTCCCATTTCCCCATTTTTTCTCCCTTTTTCTCCTTTTTCCCCCTTTTCCCCCTTTCCCACTCTTTTTTCCCTCTATTCTACCTGCTTCCCCCCCCTTTTCCCCCTCTTTTTCCCCATCTTTCCCCCTCTTTTCCCCCTTTCCCCCCTTTTTTCCTCCTTTTCCCCCCCCTTTTTCCTTTTTTTCCCCTTTTTTCCCCTTTTTCTCCCATTTCCCCTTTTTCCCTTTTTTCTCTTTTCCCCTTTCCCTTTCCCAGTGTGGGCCTGTGCATTCACTAATTTTGCTCAAACCCTTTCTTTCCTGCTTTTATAACACTGTTAGAATTGGGAGAAGTTCCCTGTAGTACATTTTACCTGTTCCTATCATTTCCAAACCTGACTAAATTTGCTGGCACCTTCCCCAGAAGAGCAGAATGAACCAAATTTGGTGAGAAAATGTAAAAACCACATCTCATCCTTGGAAAAGTGTGTAGGGTAAATGAGAGGAATGACCAACTAAGAGTGGCTCAAGTCTCCCTTGTAAATGAGAGCGGACACTTCTTATAGAATCACAGAGTCATTAATTTTGGAAAAACCCTCCAAGATCATCAAGTCCCCCCCTGTGCCTGATCCTCACCTTGTACCCCAACCCAGAGCACTCAGTGCCACATCCATTCCTTCCTTGGACACCTCCAGGAATGGAGACTCCAAACCTCCTGGGCAGCCCCTTCCAATGCCTGACCACCCTTTCCAGGAAGAAATTCTTCCTGATGTCCAACCTGAACCTCCCCTGGTGCAGCTTGAGGCCAATTCTTCTTGTTTTCTACTTGTTTTCTGGGAGAAAAGACTGACCTCCACCTACAGCCTCCTGTCAGGGGGTTGTAGGGAGCAATAAGGTCTCCCCTGAACCTCCTTTTCTCCAGGCTGAACACCCCCAGCTCCCTCAGCTGCTCCTCACAGGACTGACTCTCCAGACCCTTCACCAGCTTCATTGCCCTTCTCTGGACACGTTCCAGCACCTCACAGGGATGGCTAAAGGTGCAGTTAATCCTACCCATGGATGAACAATGCCTAAAATACATAATAAAATACATTTGTTACTTAGGAAAACAATTTATAATGGTCATTCTAGTGCTGTTCTGAGAGAGGGCCTTCAAGACTGACTATAAATAGAGAATGCTCTCCTTCCCATCTGCCTTCTGTACCCACAGACTCCTTGCCAACAGGATTTAATAGCTCCCATATTGTATCTCACAACACACAAATCCAGGAGGTGGTAAAAAAGGGACAGGCAGGGTGTGATCTCTGGCCCCAAGATGAAGTTGGGTTGGCTTGTGTCCATGCTGCTTGGGAAAACTGCTTCTGGAGCAGCTTGGCCCCTCGTTCCCACTTGGCAGTGCATCTGTTATGGCTCCCTGCAATCATAAATAATAATTATTATTTTCTCTCTGTGTGTGTGTTTCTCCAGTTTTGAGTATCTGTGACAATGTGACAATGTGAGAGACTGTGCTGCTGCCAAGAAAGGTGTTATTTCTACAGGAGGAAACTCAGGGCTGGGATTTATACACGGCAGTGCTGAAGGGCCTTGAGTTTGCTGGGATAGCACTGGAATACTGGATTGGTGGAGGAAGCCTCTCTTTTAATGTACTTCTACATGTCATCCTCTGAATTTTTGAAATTGGGTCTATTTATTTTCAAAAGTGGATAGGGACACAGTTCAAGGTCTTCTAAAAATGTGTTAAGGATTAATCCTGGTTTTTCTGGTGCCTTTGTGACTCTGGGCTGAGTAGTCAGGCTGATATCCATGTTTTACCTTCAGTGTCCACTAGGCCTTAATTTTCTGTTTCTTTGTTTTGAACTTCCTTTTCTACAGGTTCAAAGTGAACTGAAGAAACAACTGTGCAAGTGGCAGTATCAGGAATACCTGACCTTCACCCACAAACACGGGACTTTGTCCAGGGAAAACAGTCCCGTCAACTACGTCACTCAGTTGTCCCTGCTGGAAAAAATCAGCCCAAAAAGGAAAACATCTGGGTACCACAATGGTGTAACTACTGTCTGAGGCTTTCTAGCTGTGGCATTGGGATGTACTACCTAAGAGATGGCAAATTGGATCCTTTTGGCTTTCCATAGTGTGAATTCTGTAAATTCCTTGTCCTGGTCGTGAGCTGCTTTTCTCACCTGGTACAGATTCATATCCCAACCCTGGCTCTCTCTTTAAGTATATAAAGTCCATTTGTTTTGTTGGGAAAAGCCAGGCCTGGGGATAGTATGAATCAACAGGTTAGCACCCTAAAAAATAAAAAAAAACCCCACATTAACTCTCCTCAGGCCCACCACATTTGTCGTGTCTTTGTTAGTGTTTCCCAAATTTTCCAATTTTCAAGTGCACTATTCCTAATCTTCATTTGCAAGAGTTATTTGGTGACCAAGTTTTGGCACAGAAAGAGTTATTTGGTGGCAAAGCTTTGTCGTAATAATTACTGGTGTTGTTTTGAGACAGCTTGAGTCAGTTTAGTGGGAATTAAGCACAGAAACTTGCCAAGCACCACCTATGGAACAGCAACCTCCTTTAAAAGGAATCTCAAGGTGTCTAGAATGCCACAAAAAAACCAGACAGTTACAATATCTGCTCGGGTTTTTACCTTCCATGCCTATTGAAAAGAGATTAAATTAGGTCAGAGGATCCTAAGCCCTCTCTTGTCTATGTGAAAATATGGATCAGCTGAATATTAGGCAGAGTATGGATGAAGGAAGAAATGAGAACAAACACAATGCAGTGTCCAGCTGGGCTGCCTTGAGCTCAGAATGACTTATAAACCTGGTTTTAGAGCTCAGCTGCTGCTCTTTGTGAGCTGGAACAAACCTGTCACCATAACGCTGAGGATTAGCTGGATCCATCAATGAAACGCACAATTAAACTGTGCTTTTGTGCTTTTTTGGGAGGGACCTGGCTTTGAGGACCAAATTGCTGTGATCACTGTGATTGTCTCAGCATTTCTCAGCTCGTTGTCACTCCACTCGATGATGTTTCATGGGACAGAATTATCCACACTGCAGTGAGGGCAGTGAGGCAAAGCATGGCCCAGTAAAGCTCAGAACCAATGCTGTCCTTGCATCACTTCTTTGGGTGACCTTCCTCTTTCTTCAGGACTGAGTTGGACTCTACCTCAACCTCTCCAAAAGTAAAGAAAGGTACACAAGATACAGCTACAGCTCCTTTCAAGACAGGAGCATTCCCAGGAGAACCTGCATCAGACCTGGAAGCACTGCTGGAGACCACAGCCATGCACATACATCCTGGCTTTCTGTGAACAGCAGCATCAGTTTAGCTTAAAAAAGTAGTGTTCCAGTCCCTCAATTTGCTCTGCTCTTGGTTAATTATTTGGGTTAACAGACATTTGACTCGTGGAAACCTCTTTGTTGGTTTTAGGTGCTTCATTTTTAGTTCTGTTATTAGGACAGAGGTGAATTGTCCACATTTCTATAAATATGGTTCAAATGAGTTATTTATTAATTAGGCTCATCTGTCCCAATGAATTGTGTGTTCTTTGTAATGAGTAATTTTGTTTGTTCTGATTATCAGAATCCTTATCAGTTTTACTTGTCAGAGTAACCTTTGCTCCTGTGCTGTTTCAATCTGTTGAAAAGAATTGTGATGAGAACACATTTGTGTGATGTACAGCTATAAAATGCAAGTGATAATTACAGCTTTTGTGAGTTTGGAAATTTAATTTGTGTCACTTTGGATAGTTCATTTGAGACTTTATATAAAAAAAGAAGGTTAATAATCTTGGGGTGTGCAAAAGTTTCATGGATAAAGATTTTGTTTGGGCTGTGAAAAAGTTGCTGATCTCTTCTTGATGACACACCTGTGGGTATGATGGTGTGTGTGGGAGTCGGGAATGCTTCAGGGATATCTTCCTTCACAAGGAAGGCAGCAAAAGGTTGTCACAGGCTGGGTTTAGCAGCGCTGTGTGTTCTGTGTGGAGCCACTGCCCTCTCCTGGAGCTGGGAATGCTGCTGGTTTGTTTGGATCTGTGCGATCCAGTGCTCCAAAACACTGCTCCCTGCTCACACCCAACGTGAACCTGAGCTACAGCCTGGCCTGAGAATTAAATTACTAATAAAGGGCAGCTGCAATGGATTAATGAATTATATCAGCCAGGAAAAGCTGTTTTCTCCTCCTGGTGTCTTTTACACAATTTAACTCTTCAAGTATTATTTTTTTAAATTCCTTTACAAACTGCATGACAACCTGGAAAGATCAAAACCAGCTGTTTCTGCTGGTTTTGTTGTTTTTTTTTTTTTTTGGGGGGGGGGGATGTTGCAGCAAAGACAGGCTGTTAATGTAACTGAAATTCCTCTCAGAGAGTAGAATTTTAAATCTGATGGAGTCACCTCTTCAGAAAGTTTGACTGTGTGGGCTCCAGACTGAAAGAAATCCTCCCAGCAGGCAGCTTCACCTGCTTTGCCAATGCAGAACTTCCCCCAGGCTGCCTAATGCACCCAGAGCAAGAATTATTGGAGTGTCTAAGATTTTTTTCAGCTGCAGAAAATGCAACTGAATTCAAGGTGTGTTGACAGACCTAGTGAATGAGGTTTTCCTCACTTAAACCAGGTGTCTGTTTTTTGGAGCAAACTCCTATAACGTGGTATTGTGCCTTTAAAATAGTGGGTACTTACAAAGGACTTCTAGAGGGAGCTGAAATACTTTTGGAGGTGCCTTTTCTTTCCCTGCCTCTTAACTATAAAAGGAGCCTTAAAAAAAAATCACTTAGAGTAGATGTGAGTTTTACAAATTAGGCTTTTTCCAGATTCTCTGATCTACATTTGCTGATCTCCATGATTAGTAAGATACTGAGTGATGCAGCCCTCCTGCACAGGGTGGAGAGGGGAGACATGTCCTATGGACCATCATCCAGCCCTTAAAGAAGGGGTTGAAGCTGCTTTAGGTCAAAGGAAATTCATGTAAAAGTATATTTCCACGGCTTTGAAGCACAGCAGAAAAGGAAATCCATATATCTGCCCTGTCCCTCCCAAGACCCAACCTGCCCATGGGCCCGAGATCCCCTTTTATCCCAGGTCCTGCCTCAGCAGTGCTGTAGGATGGGGATCCCCAACCCCACAGCCCTGGTTGTTCCCTGACACATTTCTAACTACAGTTCCAATAAATGAGTATCCATTTCCCCATCAAAGGATGAGGATCCACATATCTGGACTTTGGCTGAGCAATGAGGGAGGACAACAGTGGAAAGATGGAGCCTGAGTGGAGATTCACAGATTCACAAGGGACTGGCAAAGACTTGTGGTAGCTGAAGCAGAGGCTAAAGACAGAAAAAATATCAGAAATAGGTCATCTACTGTGGAGTCCTCTGTTCCAGTAGTGTGAATGTACCTGATATTTTAAAATTAACCTAATGATTAAACTCTTTAGGTTTGACTATAAAAGAAATGAAGCCTTGAAGCATATCAGGAGTTACAGACATCAATTTTGTTCAGCCTTGCCAACTGGAGGTCTTTGAGGACAACAGAAATAATATTTAGGTCCCCAAAGACCTGTGGATCAAAACTCAGAGGCACAGGGGCTTTTAGTTGCAGTGGAGAGTGTGTTGCCTTTGTACTGGTGATATTAGACCCCAGTCGTGTTTGACACTGGTTCAGGGTGATAAAAACATTCCTCATGTAACTCCCCTGGTTGATGGTGAAGGAAGAGGGTTCATGGCCCATTAAAGGCAAAAACTTCACTCCTGGTTGGCCCAGGACTGACTTTGAGCAGCAGAATTCCTGGACTCCCCCTCATGAGGAAGGAAGCAAATTTCAGCCCCAAAAAACCCCCCCTCCATCCTTTTGCTTCAGGAAAAAAAAAAAACAACCAACCCACTACCCTGTAACTTCACAGACAAAAAGTTCTCTTTGGTGCAATTTTATATCAGAACAGACTTATACAAAATGATAATACATTTATTGTGTCATCTACAGCAGTATACATGTTAAAAACAATTTCTCAAAACACAAAAAAGGTTAGAAAGCAGCAATTGATATCTGTGTTTCCACCTCATAACAAAGCTGAATAACCCCAAATCCCATTACCAGTTAAACCAGTTTTGACCAAAAAAGGTCAGTATTAGACCCAACAGGCCATAACTTTGTACCTTGACACAGTCAAAAGCCAAAATACAGCTTTCCATCCAATAACTTGGTACTTCTCAGAGCTATAGCAGGTTTGCATTGCCACTAAATTGACAAGTAGAAGGGAAAGAGAATGAACACACCAAATATTTGTTTTTACAGATTATACTGATACACAAAGGCCTCTTGAGACTTCTCTGCAAGCACAAAGTCCATTGGGAAAGGCATATGCAGAAGCCTAAGGAATTTCAGACACTGAAGAGTGTCAGATCACACAGTGTCATATCACACAGTAATTCTTTACATGGATGAATTCCCCAAAAGAAAGCCAATGGGAAATTGCAATTCGAATCATAAGAAGGTGAAAGACCACGAGGTTCAAAACATTGTTCAAGCTCTGCTGGTGTGTTTTCATACACAAAGTACAATGTGTATTTAGCTGAATTTAGCTCTTTAGTACAGATATACATGGAGCTTAACATCAGAGCATCATTAACTGCAACTGCAACACTCCAGATCTTCCTAGTTTGTCCTTTAAATGCAATTCTGAACTGGTTGCATGTTCCTGACTGCTGAAAGCAGAGGATAAAATCCTAATTTTTTTTATTTTTCACTGCATGTGCGCTGTATAATCTGGTTTGTTTCCGGACACAGAAGTGCTGGTCATATGGACACAACCTCACAGAGGGAAGGAGACTTCCTGAAAACTCTACTAAGCCTTTATCAGGCATGAAACCTCCCTCAGATCTGGCTGATAATACCCGACAGAAGCCACCCCCAAGCTTTTCAAAGCCATTATTTCTCATCACGTGTGAAACAGAAGAGCAGTGACCAGGCCAGGGAAAATCCATCTCCACATCCAGGCTGCCACAGTGCCAACATCTGTCTCCAGTCTGGCCATCTTGACCTCTTGGTGGAAAGAAACACCAGCAAAGTGTGAATCATCTCCCCTCTGAGTGGACATCAAAAATACGGGGTTTGATTTTTGTGCTCTGAAATTGCTCTTTTGTCTCTTGTGGCCACAAAGGCAAAGTGGAGAAAGCAGATCAAAGGGAGACACCTCAGCTGTTGATGTCTAAAGTGGAGTGGTGTGGGTATCTCCTTAGCTGACTGCTTGAGGACACAAGACCTTTTCCAGGACTTTAACTGTGGGCCAGACCATCTAATGCTGAAGGTGCCAGGTGTTGAAATATAGCCCTTGATATTTAACTCCTAAGGAAGAAAACTACTTAAAAACAGGTATTTGGTTGTATTTTTTGCCTTATGCACGTTTTACATTCGTAGAAACAAGACTCCAGGAGACACTGCCCTCACAGAGATAACAAAGTTCAGTATCTGAGTCTGGAAGAGAATCCCACGCAGGGAGTTCATGTGTTTCCTAGATATCCACACAGAGCTCACAGATATGACCCAGGAACTATAAGAGACTCCAATCTTGTCTGGCAGCTGGAGGCCAAGCAGGATCCCATGTGGTGTCCATAAATTCTGCTCTGTCTGCTCTTCCCACTTGTCTTACTTCCCTTCCATGTATAACAGTTCTGTTGAGGGCACATTCACTGCTCTGCAGTGATTATAAGTAGAATATTGATAATATAAGCACACATTTCTCTGGAAGCCCTGCCCACATGAGAAAAACCTCAGAACAAAAGTGAAAGTCTTAATATCAAGAAAGGACATAATCAAAGCAAGGGGGAAAATCCTAATTTATTGAACTTTCTAGGTTTTTATCTGTGGGAGCCCTTGCATAAAGACATGTAGGACTGAAGCTCTTCAGAAGCCTCCCAGACATCTATTGCTACACACAAAAATGAACTTATTTTTTTTAATCCTCTCCCATGAACACTTTAGAAATAGTCTCTGGGCTCTGAAGTCTTCACAGACCACAGGTTAAAAACCTCTGACATCAGCAATTGTTTCTGAAACATATTGAAAAACAATTTCAAATAACAAGGCAGATAAAGCCAATTAAATTAATGAGGTTTTCATTTCTTCTGTTGCCACTCTTTGCTAAAGTCACTCTGGACATTTTTTTTTTTTTCTGTGACACTAAAATTTTTATATCTAATTTCTGTCAGGGCTGGGCTGGAAAATTAAGTTGGATATTTTTATGGTTTGCAGACCAGATTTGGCAGGGATTTAGTAGCAATGTCAGACACATGAGCACTGAAACCTCACAAACTGACACAATCAGTGTCTTTTCGGCCATTTGAACGATGATTTCTTGCAGTATTTTTTCTGAGTATGTGTCCTATGCCTCTGA